TATGAGAATGTTTCGGGGGCAAGTATCCCTGCAGCAAACATTCCAGGCCGAATTTATCTAGGCGAATATATATTCCTACTGCCCTTATCGATTCCGAAGGGAAATGGAATCCTAACTTGGTTCGCCATTGTGTCTTTACCTTTAAAATAAAAATAAATATTTATTTAGCGCATTTTCCGCCGCATGTTGAAGGCGCTATTATGATCACTTTCTCCGTCCGTCCGCCCCTCGTTCGAGGCCTTAACTACTCCTACAGTTTTCATGATATTTAGTTCGGTCTTGTTGAATTCAGTAGCTTATAGCTATGGCACCTGAGCCGTGAAAAATCTCGACGATTAATGTGCGCATGTGCAAACTGTGCAATGTCAACTTTCCTATTTATGGAGATATTTTTTGGAAATTTTAACCACACATGCTTCTACTAAAGACTAGCATATCGTATATTGTAAAAATCACATCACTCAATTTTTTTAGTTTTCAAAATATGTTCAATATGATGCACGTTTCCGAGATGCCGCCCATATAGTCCTTAAATATTTTTTCATGAAAATGACATTAAATTGTGCTTTAAAAGAAATTGCACAAAACATAAAAACACTAATTTCATTTTTAAAATTTTAAAAAGTACATACTCTAATAACAACAGCCATCTGTACAGTTTTACCCTTCTCCTGCAAATTCGTCGATAAGGTACTAGGGGCTTGTAGTCAGAGGCAGCTCGTGATGATTCAATAGAAATTAATACCAGCTTTCTAAATTTTGATTGACTTAAAGAATTTCTTGGGTAATTTTTCAATAATTTAAGTTTAAAAAAACTTCTCTCGCCACTAGCTACAACAGTATTTGGCTAATAAACTAATTAGGTTGTTTTGACGTAGATGATTTAAAACATCCAAAGATTTCATGGAAAAGTGTAACATACTAGATATGCAATATTATCTTCAAAACAAGGTTTTTTTAAAAGAACCTTTTTATGGTATCCAAAATTATAACAAGTTTGCTACCAAACTACGCACTTCAAGTTTGTGGTCAGTGGCGTACTTCTGCATGGCTAAGAGGGGTTTATTGTTTTTTTTTTTAAATTTCATTACATATTCTTGAAGAGTATATACACTTTGGAGCGCATTTTTTAAGAATTAAAAAAATGTCCTATTGTTTGCGTTTTGTCCGTTTACTACTTCTAGGGGAATGGTCCTAGAGTCCTGGAATTTTTTTTGCAGTAGGTAGCCTATACCTTGAAGGTGTGCCAGATGGCCATCAAATTTTGCTGCCTAAAAGGGGACCCCCCACGAATTATTTCCTGAGATGCTGTTTTTGAAAATAAAATGTGCATAATTTTTACGTACGACAACCAATTGGTCTCAGATTTTGCATACGCATGCCTTTAGTGCTGCCAAGTTAAACTTTAAAAAATGAGGGGGGGGGGGTAAACACATGTTCTACCCTTCATAGTATTCTAATGAAAGGTCTCATCGAAATAAATTGGTTTGTGCAAACTATAACTTTCCCGTACGACTCTTTTTCGAGATCAGTGAGAGACGGGGCTTGAGGGGAGGGGGGGGGGAGATTAAAAATTAATTTGTCCTCTCATTGCATTCTAATTAATAATAATAATAATAATAATGCCTTTATTACGAAATTATATAATTTTAAAACGAAAATAATCTAGGCGGAGTTCAACACGTTGACCTGGACGTACAACTGTTGCTCTACCACTCAACCTAGTGTATCATTCACACGTTATACACAAACATATAAAATAAAATAATTTTTTTTTTACAAATCTAATATGATTGCTCACTTAATAATCTACACTTCATGTTTTTTTTAAAAGACGATAACGAAGGAGAACTGATAAATAAATGACCGTTCGAAAAAGTGAGTATTGTGGAGAGGGACATCTAGCAATCCCCTAAGTCGTAGATTTAAATTATGCACGTCAGTTCTAAATCTTAACCTCGTGAATAAGTATGGAGGCGATTTGGATCTTAAAATCGTATAGTATAATCACAGACAAAATTAATCTGTGGTATAATGAAGCAGAATGTACGTATCTGCGATTATTCATGTTCAACCACTCGGTCGCCACAAGTGCTTGTTACACTTAAATTAAAGGTCTCAACGAAAGGAACCGTTTTCTAGTAACTACTGCCCTTCTTTCTGTCCTCTTATCAAAGTACAAGGTGGAGGGGGAGGGGGGTGAAACTAGTTTTATCCTTCATGGTACTCTAATGAAAGGTCTCAATGAAAGGAATTAATTTCGACCAACCATAGCCCTCCTCCTCGACCTCTTATCGTGATCGTGATTCCCTTATACCTCAAGAACGGATTGTCGGAAGAGGGTACTAACAAAGGGCGATTTTTTGTACACCAATATATATTATACATAGCTAGGGCTCTCCCGTAGACCCGCCACTCTACGCACACGGCGGCAAACGACGTTTGCCAACGATTAAACACACACTACACTTCTTGAATCATACATCCAACCTAATAAAAAAACGGCGATCTTTGCGAAAACGTAAAACTATATAAAATAGTGATTCACTACCATTATACATTCCACCCGAAATACTTGTATGAAATGCATAGTGTTGATCAAACCACTAAGCCACTTTTTGTGCATCCTCATTATATCTAACTGACTTGCCCATTTTTTTCATCAATTTTGTGTCGATCTCATTTCCATTATGCGAGATTTCTTTTATTTTTTTCCGTGTTGGGATAAAGTTCGGGTTTAAGCGTCTCCCTTTACCAAATCCTGGGACCGCCACTGGTTTGCGCTATATTCAGTTGCAATAGTTTTTTTGCTTTTTAACAAAAACGTTGGCACACTGCACTGCATAATTAAAATAACAAATTAAAGCTAAATTTGGATATAGTGCATTTGTATCTCGCCCACCACCAAACCACAGACATCGTCTACACAAAGTAAGATTGATATGCAGCTTCCCCAACATTAAAATCCATTTAAGTGCTTTCACAATTCACAGTATACCAAATGCAGTAAAAATTCTTTCGATTAACAGTATAGCTAAAAAGAAAATGGTTTGTCTGCGAAGATTTTAATAAAACTTTTAAAACTGAAGAATTTACGTATCTTGGAAACTTTAGACTTAAATTGTCACAAATTTTGTCTAGTCTACTAAAACTTTTCTCCATAATCTTATCCACAATAAAATCGATTGTCCTGATTTGTTACAATATCTGAATTTTTATGTCCCCCGTTTTGGTTACCGTAGTAATGATACATTTTACATATCTTATTGTAATTCTAATATTTTGAACATTCGCCATTTTAGAATGTGTAAGTATTGTAACATGTTTTCTAAAAACTATGATATCTTGGATTTGCCAAAGGTTCAATTTTTAGATTTTCATTGTTAATAATTAATATTATAAGAAATGTTAAAATATTTTTTGTCTTTGTTATATGATGTATTCTTAAATTTATTGTTATTCTACTCATATATTTAAATTTCTCTTTTTGTTACTGTACTTGCCTGCGTATTTGTTATATGGATTTTGTCCGTTAAATGGATACTCATCTGTTGGGCAAAATATACATTTATTATTATTATAACAGAAACTGAAAAATAGTAGAAAAAATGGTGTATTTTCGAGTGCTGCGTCGCTCGCACGGGTCTTTCGATGAAAACTTTGGATTTTTCACACCCATATTGATCCTAACAATTTAAAAGAAAAAATAGAGATAGCATATCTAATGCGCATGGAATGTCCATTTTTTTGGTCTAATTTGACTGATCTATTCTATGATCTCCCCAAACCTTGTAGTAATTCCCCGGAGAAAAATGTCTGAATTCAGCACTGACCACAACCTGTTACGCATACATACCCCATGTGTAAGCTATAAAACGAAAAATTCTGTACATGTATTTTGCTATAACACCGGTCTATACAGCATTTTTGCGCATGGGACATACATACCTTATTTCGATAGCTTATATAGCCACAAATTGGAAAAGAATTGGAACGAAAAATTAATCTAAATGAGAATGTAACCTCTGCATCTTTAGAAACATTCTATACCCGATAATGCAAAACCAAATCCTGTCAGCTCGTCATAATTTTCAGCTCTATGGTTCCCAGGAAACACTGAACGGGAAACCATGGACTATTGCCTTAAAACTGTTCCAGGATTTTTTTCCTCTTTGATAAGTATAATCGCGGGTAAATATCACACTCCATTTTTCTTTTTATGGGGAAAACAAAGAGACCAGCTTTAATTTTCGCCCCTGAACGCTTTCAATCAAATCGCTATAACTTTTGTAAAAGCAAATATTTTACTTTTTATTTATTTTTGCTTATTATAGTCAGAATATTAATGTAAATCCCATGCGCAAAAAAAAGTATTTTTTTGTTGACCGGTGCGTAATCTATCCAGGCGATGCATCCATTACCTTCATTACTGTGGCAGATAAGGTATCACTTCAACTTTGTAAAATTTTGAACGTGCAAATGTGTCATTCCAAACATTGGGAATCATATATAAACTCAAGGGTTTCTGATTAAACTAAACAAATATTTACCCAAAGAAAGGTATTTTTTAAATTGTGATTAGCGAATTGTAATGTCATAGAATTAAGGGTGGTTTGATACGAACGTGCTTGTTTTTGAGATGTTTGATGTTAAATAATGCCGGTGACCTCAATTTTTTTAAATTGCGTTTATTAATCTGTTGTTTAAATGGATTTGCTTGTCGAATTGCGTGCGACACGGATTCGGTGGCGCGGTGCAGGTTAGTTTTCTTTGCATAAAGGCGCGTATAGTATGTAATAGTGATCGCAATTGAAGCCAAAAAGTTTACCTACTAATATTTTTGCTTCTGGTTTTGAAATGGACACGCCTATCGGCGCCGGCGATTGGTCGACAATTTAAAACTTATAGTATCTCAACATCGCACGTTGTTCCAACAGGGTGTTTTCGGCGTTCCAAGAGTGAGAGGGAACACAGGTTCAGTTCGGGGTGAGGGATTACAGTTCGCGTTCGCGTTATTCCCTCAATTCGAACGTAATGTAACTACTTGGCGTCAGCGTGAGCGTCAATTCACTTTGAACGCTCCGTGCGTGCGGTTGTTGCTACCGTCCGTTTTTCGAATACAATCCGCGTGTTGTGAAGACTGGTGACTTGTGTTTTTACTTTTGTTGTTTGTTTATAATGGCGATACCTTTTAATGTGGAAAACGATTCTGATTGTGACGAAGCTGTGCTTCAGCTGCTTCTTTCTGATTTGTGTCGAACTTTGCAGCAAATTGCTCTATTTCAACGTTCCCGGAGGACGCAAAATTTAAATCGCGGTAAGTCCCTAGTTTTCTTCGCTCTTTCCTCTTAAAATTGCAAAAATTAATTGTGCGGGAAAACGATCGGGTGCATCGCGGACCTGTTGCACAGGGATAGTGAATTCTAGGATAGAGGTTCAGGGTCGGCCGCGAGACGTTCATTTTATCTCGCGTTTGGTGGCAATCAATCTGTTCTTCTGCTATTCACACTCCATGGAGATTAGCACAAAGACCGTGAAGTGTGACTTCCGCGTGCACCTCAAAAATGCACGTTGTTTTTTATTTACGTTTAAAAAAAGAAGAGCAAACGCAACTCGTACATCTGCTGCCTCTTGAGAAGAGCGCGTGTCTTTTCTAAAAATAGTCTTCTTTTCAAAATTACCACTGAGTGATCTGCAACTTAAACGATGTCGGATAATTAAATTGTGCAATTCTCTATTTTTATAGTAAAATGAAACAGTGCCAATGATCTTTTGAGGTGACTAATTTATACAAATCTTAAGAGTTGTGAAATTCGAGGTATTTACTCACAAATTCCGAAAAAATTTGCAAGTGATCGTCCTTGAACCGTACTTTAAAATAAATCTGAATTGTAAGATTTTCCCATCTAATTAATGTGCACACGTGCTCTCATTTTTCCTTCAGTTATTAGATGACCCAGAAATTTTCGTAAAGCTAATGACTTAAAAATCCATCAATGAGTAGCTAATCAAACATATAGGTCACTTCGTGTTTTCATTCTTTGTCGAGTAAAGGATTCGATTAAATTGAATGATGTAATTTGCTTAAATATTACTGCAACAGCAATCTTAAAATGTCACCTTCCTTTGTTTGATTGAATAACCCTTCGCTCTATAACAAGAAATTACACTTTGATTAAGTATAAGTTTCGGTAAAAATTACCATGAAGTTATATGATCAGTGTTCATAACTATAGGGTATCTTCTACATTAAACTAACAACCAGTTTTGGTGCCAACCAGATTTCTGGCGCCAGAAAGTGTCTGCACTACGCTACCTTACTTTACTTCTCTAATTTTTTTATTGTCGAATAACTTACTGCGAAGTATTTTAAATTTCACGTACATAACGCATCTTAATCGATTCCGATTTCCATAAGTAATTAATATGGTAATTGTGTAGTTATTTATAGCGTTGTGATAAAATTGCACTTTTACAAATGACCTTATATTAAATGTGCGCGATTTCAGCTCCCTCGTCTCCAGCGACCACGACATCAAGACATTCCGGCGCATCTTCAGAGACTGAACGTACCCTCCTAAATTCGACGGTCGATTTGGCATTATCACTATCACAAGTCGAAGCTCTTCAGCAGCAAAACGCATCCGTATCTACGCGACGCCGGCATCCCAGACGATCAAGATCGGAACCTTCATGCTGCAAAGAACCAAAACCTGTAGTGATATCAGTCGCCGTTGAAGTCACAAACAAAGATTGGATCCAGGTTAGTATCCTAACTCAAATTTGTACCCCAGGGTTGGTGTTGAGATATTAACTGAATAGCCCCAACACCGCGAAATCCTTTACAATCGAACTGCGTAGCGCTCACAATTTCAATACCGCAGTGAAACTGACCTTGGTTACCGCTTATAGATAATTAAAATGCAATTACATTTACTTATCTTTGCATTCAGGGATTTTCTTTGTCTATTCCGCTCCAGTTTTGTCGAGGCGTAATAAGTTCATATTTTGCCTGTTGCAGAAAGAGCACCACATCTCGCCAACCACAAAGAAACCATGGTATAGATCAGACGGCCTGCTATCAAAACTCATCCCCGCCCAACTATCAGGTCCCTTGTGGACCGCCGTCATATGCATGGTGGGCTGGCATCTACTGCGAACGCGGTAATTTGGCAGCTCAACATGTACAATGTACATTTAAATCATCCAAAGCTGTAGAGATTTCCGAAGAAACATTTTTCGATAAGAAATCGTGTGATTCTATTTGATTTTAAAATATAAATACGCGACAGAATAAAATTTATTTTTTGTTTTTCGGTTTATTCTCGGTATGTTTCATTTTGTAAATGTGTAAGAGAATGTTTTAGGGTTAGGGATACATGTAGTTTGTTTAGTTGAATTATAAAGGTATTAATTGCCTTTAATTATTTTTGTACTTGTCGGTTCCAAAGAGAGCAGAACTAATCAATGAATTTGATCTCATAGTAAGCACGACGATAGTACAGTACGTTATGACTGTCCGTAAACGCGTCGAAATTCTCTCAGGAATTTTACTATTAGACGTAATTTGATTTTTGTTTTTCACGAGAATTTTGTTTTTTTTGTTTTTAATGTAAATAGTTTTTTTTTTCTAAAGTTGGATTCAGTATAGCCAAAGATTGAGTAGTGCCAAGCAGTTGTGCGGACGCCGTCCTTTGTTCACTTTCGCTACCGTGAGTCTGACTTAGTACATTTTTTGTATATTGGTGCAGTCTGCTGCTCTCAAAGTTTTCACATGATCTCCGCTAGTTAGATTAGTGCGGTGAAAGCTGGACGCGTGCCGAACAGCCCGCACTGAATTTTTTTTTGTACATATTGATCGTCTCCTTTTATTGTGTTCATGTCTGCACCGGCCTGGTCGCTTCGTGTTAATAGATAAGGCCGTTGACAATCTTGGCCAGAGTGAAGCTCACTGTCTCATAAGGCTGTTGGCCACAACTTCGCCTGCTAATAGCTTGTGTTTACTTTTTATAAATATATACAAGTACCTACACATAACATGGGACGTATATAAAATTTAGATGCTGATATTTTAAAAGAAATTAAAGCAATTAAGTAGATTTAGTTTAGATTTAAGTAGATTAGTAAAGCTGCATCTGTGGATCGCTCTTCAAAGCATCTCTGTGATTTGCCAAAAAAGGCAATTTATCCTGTTGCAACTGATCTCTGAATACATTTCTACAGAATGTTTTCGTTTGTAACGATTTTATTCCCTAGTCAGTATAGTCGTTTTGTTTTAAGGTTGACTAGAGGTTTTTTTAATTTTTGGGCTCAGGAACGCCCCTATGTTTTTTTAATATGTTTATGTGCTAATGTGTTGTTTGTGTATTGTTTATTTTATAAATAAGTATTGTATGCCATACATTTGAGTTTATGTCATTTTAATTTTTTTATTTGTTTTTGTACGTTGTGTAATATTCTGAGCTGCTGGACCAATGGCCGAACCAAATATTGTTTTGGCCCATCAGTGATATATTATACATTGCCCACGGCAGACCAATAATATACCAGTTGATTTAAGGTTGCTTAATATGTATATTATTTCAAATATAAATGTCATACGTTTTATACATGTTTATACACATATATAACTATATAATATTATATTTTTGTGAGGTATGGAAAATGTAGCAATTACTTCTGATTTACCATACTCACTATCGAGCTACCAGTAGTCTTTCAATAATGTAAACTTTTTCACTTTTATATAATTATTGGTTTTTCAAATAAATGTAAACATGCCGACATGTTTGAAGCTTGTTTTATTAGAAAATCGCCCGCCGCAAATGCCAAAAACGAGAATAGAAACCCCATACAGTAGGCAACCAAATTTACATCTAAACGCACACCTCTACAAAAAAAACCTAGAAAGATTTACGATCCTTTGAAACGTATCTTTATCCTTCAGTACCAGACAGCCTGACGCCATACCACTTGAACCGTTAAAACTTTTAAGGCAGATGATAATAGGACACTTGGGTTTGAAACGTGATATTTATCTACACTTATATAATACCCTTCAGTCCAGCATATAAATTTCACTTTAGACGTAAGTATTTCGTAATGCGAAGAAACAACTCTTTCTTTTGGACCCATAAGGCACTACGAATCCAACAAGTGTGAACAATTGGGGCAAAATATCTTTGATCCTGTTTAATTAATTTCCAAACTGCTTGTATAAAAAAAGTAATCTCGCACATCGATTACGTCCATTTAAAGTAAGGAATTTGACGGGATTTTTTCAAATACACACTGAAAAGGTGTCACTCTAAAAGTCTAAAGAATACCGAAATAAGTTCACTCTTGTCGCATATCTAAATAAGTTACAATCAGACCCCGGGTTATAAATCGAATAACTGAACTCCACTGGAGGGGGCGGCGAAATGTGCTAAATTGTATTTTTTTGCATTAGTTGCAATTCTCCTCTGTGGTGAATTTTGTTTCAAAGTCAATTTACAAATAAATAACCTCGTAAATAACTGTATGAACTAAGTAGATACGCAATTTTACTATTACAAACATTAGTTACGGAGGCGCCGAATGAAATATAGCCCAGGGTGTTAAAAACATTTTTGAACAACGCATTTTCTTTGACAAGCTAAAAGGAATTTCTAAAAAAATGTACCTGTAAAATAATGCAAACTTCCATGGGCTTTGCTAGGGCGCTTCAATTAGGGACCAGGAGAGAGAAAATGAAGGTAAAACGCAATAGAAATAAAACACTTAACTACGTCAATTAAAGAGGGCTAAATTTAACCGCATTTAAGATTCGTCTCTTACTGTGCGTCTGATTTGTTGGTTTCCTATACGCTTATGCAACACATCATACAAGCTACCTAAAAGATTTTATTTCAAAAAATGTGTATGGCAGTATCTGCATAATTACTAAGTAGATTGATGAAACGTCGGTAGGAAAAAAAATACAACGGACTGGTATTCAGAAAATGCCACTGGAAATTGTATGACAAAGTCAATACATTTCTACTGAAAAAAATCACTGGCATTTTCAAAAAAATTGCATGGTGTGTTGCCTACCATAAGTCTTCAGATGCCCGAAATTCCATTATTTCTAATACCAAAGTGTTTTAGAAACTACGAGTATGTCTAAAATAACAATACATAGTCAGACAAATATAGATTCACTTTAATTTTACAACTGAATTTTTACGATAGGTAATTAGTCTTCGAGTAACGGTCCAACTAGAATAAAACCGCAAAGAAATCCTGCGAGTTTCCTATAAGATTGGCAAAGCACTGTGTACAACACAGAATTGTGATTTCACTCTTTATTCCCTGTACATAGTATAGGTACCCGATTAGAAATTTTAAATTCTCCCCCCGAAATATGGTCCCTCCAAGTGAATTCACTACATAATAATAGAAACTAACCAAATATAGCAAACGAGCTGCTGTGAATGGCTTGTCATTGGGTATTATATGGCTAAAGCTATGCGCATTTTGAATTTCATGCAATTCGGTTCATAACTAAAGGAGATTATTTTTTAGCCTACATTGCCAATTCACGAACTTCGATCTTCAAATTTGATAAAGAATCCACCTGCAAAATTTCTTGTAATTGTGTGTTAGATTTGCTTTTATTGCAATGCCCATGTATCAAATTTTTATTTAAATACTTCCTTAAAGAAAAAATGCGCAAAACCAACTTTTAAAACTGGTATTAGATTTGCGGTTATTTCAAGGCATCAAATTTTATTTGAATGCTTTCATAAATACCAAAGTGGGCTTGCCAATGTGCAAAAACCAAATTTTCAAAATAGTGTTACATTTGATTTTATTTGAAGTGCCTATATATCAACTTTCATTTAAATACTTTTGTGAATAAGAAAGTTAGCATTGCGCATGCGCAAAACAATGTTTTGAAAACGTCGTTAATTTTACTTATCTTCTTAGTGTCTACATGAGGTTTCATAAATAAAAATGTTTGCAATTCGGTTCATAAATGGTCGACGTGCGAAAAGGTCACCGTGAATGTTGAATCGATTAGACTCACCCTTCGGCATTGCGTATTATATGACTAAAGCTCTGCCCATATCGAATTTCATGCAATTCGGTTCATAACTAATGCGAATGTCAAAAGGGCCTTCCTTATTTTTGATCTACAAATTTTATAAAGAATCCATCTATAAAATTTCATCGTAATCGCTTTATTCGTTTTTGAGGTATCGTGCTAACGGACGGACGGACGGACACCGCAAAATAATGAACTCGCTAGTTAAGAAGTAAAAGTACTTCCGCCCACCGAGAACACTCGTACTGTAGGAGGAGGAGAAGAAGTTGTTTCGAGAGCAAGTTTCTTTTAGTGAAACTATAAGGTTTTGAAGAACGTAAATTTTGATCTTGCCTCTTTCAAAAGAAAGTACGTCGATATTTATTCAAGAGCCTACAATTTGCTAATTTTAAATAGTGCTGACATTACTAATTAAAAAGAGCCTGGAAGCCGACCGAGGTCACATTAGGTTCAATGGATGCCGCCTGTGGCACCTTGGTAAGCGACTTGCTCTTGGATAAAGACATAATTTGAATATTATGCACTAGAACAATCACGAGCCTTGACAATACATAATCGGATATGCCCAGTTTGAATTCCATGCAATTCGGTTCATAATTAACGGAGATGTCAAAAGAAAAGAGTCTGCCTTATTAACTAGTTTTGACTCCACCGTCAGTAAGATCCAGGGACCGGTATTTTTTCAGGACCGAAAACCGAACGAAGACCGTTATTCCGTCAGAAATGGAAACTTATTGAGAACCGGAACCCTTATTATTTTTTTCGGTTCTTTCTGGTCTTTTGCGGTTCTTAACAGGTTATTGGAAGTTGAAGGACGCAAACATGTTCTGAAAATCGATAAAATATTAGGTACTCTATGATTGCCATCGGTAGATTATAAATTTTTAATAAGGTGTCGAAATTAAAGGCAGTACGGGTGGCGGTGGCGGTAATTTAACCACTACTGTAAATGTAAATAATAAAAGGAGGGACGAGGTTTTAGACCGTAAAAATAACAAGTTAAAAAGTAATCGTAAACGATTTACATAAAGCGCATTTCCACTTGCATTCATTTCCCATTTGTAAGATGCAACTTCTGTTAAAATCGTAAAAATCCGCCCACAAATATGAAAGATACCGTTGCACATGGGCAATCCATTGTTGACGTGCTACTTCAATTTCAGTTTATGCGAAGAATTTCATTTCAATGCTTTTCTAAATAAGAAAGTTGGAACTGCGCATGCACAAACCTAAATTTTAAAACTAATGTTAGATTTTCCTTTGTTCCAAGCGCCTAAGTATCAAATTTCACTTAAATAGTTCCATAGATAAAAAAGTTGGCACGGCGCATGCGCAAAATAAAATTTTGAAATTGGCGTTTGATTTTCCTTTATCCCAAGTGCCTATGTATCAAATTTCGTTTAAATTCTTCCATAAATAAAAAAGTTGGCACTGCGCATGCGCAAAACCAAATTTTGAAATTGGCGTTTGATTTTCCTTTATTCGAAGTGCTTATGTATCAAATTTCGTTTAAATTCTTCCATAAATAAAAAAGTTGGCACTGCGCATGCGCAAAACCAAATTTTGAAATTGGCGTTTGATTTTCCTTTATCCCAAGTGCCTATGTATCAAATTTCGTTTAAATTCTTCCATAAATAAAAAAGTTGGCACTGCGCATGCGCAAAACCAAATTTTGAAATTGGCGTTTGATTTTCCTTTATTCGAAGTGCTTATGTATCAAATTTCGTTTAAATTCTTCCATAAATAAAAAAGTTGGCACTGCGCATGCGCAAAACCAAATTTTGAAATTGGCGTTTGATTTTCCTTTATTCCAAGTGCCTATGTATCAAATTTCATTCAAATACTTTTATAAGTAAAAAAGTTTGCAATTCGGTTTATAAATGGTCGAGATGCGAAAAGGGCACTGTGAATTTTGAATCGATTCGATTCAACTTTTGGCATTGCGTATTATATGGCTAAATCTATGCCCATATTGAATTTCATGCAATTCAGTTCATAACTAACGGAGATGTAAAAGCGATCGAACATTTCTAAACAAAGTTATCGTTCACACGGACAGATAGATGGACAGACAGACAAAGGAACAGACGGAGAGACCAACCGGCAGGCGACAGAGAGCAATGCAAAATTATAAACGATCTCTAGGATCGTTAATAAACGGCAAAAGTGTAAAATTATGGAACATGTAAAAAACGGTTTTTTGTTTTTTTTACAATAACTTTTTTTGTAAGCGGTACAGAAAAAATTCCTTCCTTGGTACAAGACTCGACACCATAACGAACCAAATAGCGAAAAAAGTAGAACAATAGCTCTTAAGATAAAAAAACTAGTAGCGTCGCAAAGTTAGCGGACGGACGGACGGACGGACGGACGGACAAAGTGGCCACAATAGCGCATTTTTTTTTATTTTTGTGGAAATGCGCTAAAAAACAATACTTACATAATTTTTTTTACATACGATTTTGCGTATTTTTTCCGTTTATTATTAATAAATTAAGTTTAAATAAATATTTCCCGCTTCCTCCTTTATTCCCCTTGTCGTTGTAAATTAGCAACACTGGCGATACATCAGGTTTTGGTATTTATGACGTTTTATTTACACCTAAACAAATCACGTTGTTATAATGAATTTTTTGAATAAAGACTAGAACCGAAAAGAACCGTTATGGACTGAAAAAAATGCGCAGAACCGAACCGTTATTTTTTTAAGAACC